ATAACTTAATAACAAACTATAATTTAGGTTTTGGAAATCATTGGTTTTTATCCAGGAAGCAGTGCGCACAAACACTCTCTACAAAATTTCGACGGCCATTTTTAACCACCAAATTAAACTGAGTATAGAAATAAAATAACACCTGAAATAAAGTTTTTCGTTACTTAAATCTTATCTTTAAGTTTCTTATAATAGCTAAAAGTAACAAAAACATATAAATTTTATGCAAGTAATATTTTATCAAGCAATATTTTCAGCATACCTTCTGATGGGTCATATATACGCGTAGCCATATTTGTTTACAATTAGAACGTCTTACCCCCTGCGAAGCCCGCATCACAGATGGGGATGCTCAATGTATTGCCGTTTCTACGCCCTCTCTCCCTTCACCCTGAGTTAACCCATTGAATTGCATTGCGCCCTACTTTATTATTTTACTAATTTACTCTGTCTAACGCCAGACGATTTTACTCATCAGAGCGCTAACGCAATGGGCTAAACCATAGGTAATAACCATAATTGAGTGACATTGAAAGTTAAGTTTAAAACTGGCCTTAAAACATAGTCCTCAAATAAGTTCTTGTTCTTGTTTGCTTTTCTGTACTTTGCAACACTTTCCCTTCCCCATGTTGTTTAATTTTGTCCTCATGTGTTGACGAACCTCTGAGGCCTTACATCCATACTTTGTTGATGCAGAAGCTGTCAAAAGACAAATAAATTTATTTAATTCCAATGTGTCTTGTTAGCCCATTAATTAAATGTGACCAAATGCACCCAATTTATTATTTTACTCTAAGTATATTTTACTGTGTTTATTCTAGCACATTAATAGAATAAACACAGTAAAAAAAATAACAAAGTACTAAAGGTAGGGCACATTGCTTCTAAATATGCCAACACAGCAGCTTTCGCAGTTTAATTTAATTATTAACCTTTCAATGACCAATACTCATTTTGATGAGTAAAATCATCTGATAATTAAATATCAAATAGTCTGGTATTAGACAGGGCAAAATATTGAGCTTTGAAATGAATTTGTGAATTGGGTCTTTACACATAACACAGGGAGACAGCAAGGTAACCTATCAAAGTTGTCCACTCTCTTTCACAAGTAAAATGATCTGGTGTTAGACTCTGGTGTTAGACAAGGTAAAATAAAAAAGTACTGGAAGTTGAGCACATTCATCTTAACGAGTTAGCATGAAATGTAAGTAGAGAGTCTGGTTAATTTGAATACCATCACATAGTTATGTTTCATTGAAAAACATGGATAGTTTTCCTGGCATTATGCTAAGGCCTCTCACAATGAAATATCAATTTTAATTTAAACAATAACATGAATAAATATCAGAATCTTAGTAAGGTTGCTGCTGATTTGAGCAAGTGGTTAAATTTTCAATAGGCATGCATTAATGGCTGCCAATTAATCTGGCATATACAGTTGGCACTTGGCATATACAAATATATTAAACAATAAACATGGATAAGTCTAATTCAAATATAAAACTTTTATAGTAGCATTTGTTGAAGTATGAATGCTATAAATATATTTATATCAGATTCTAATTCCATTTATATTGTCGCAGCAAATTCAAATTTTAAACCGAACCACATGCTCTAATTTCGCAAATGAAGATTGGAGGTATTTCCTTTATAATTTGCTTTATTATAAACAAAATATAAACGTATTCTCACCTGAACATTATGCAAACATCGCTGATGTATTACTAGTGAAAATCCAGTTGAATCTCATCAAAAATAGTTATATTTTGAACATAAACATTCACAAACTCAAAAATATAAAAATTTTGAAAAAAATATTGGAGGTGTGATGATCTATCCCTTGATGCTTTACGCACAGTAGCATCTTTTTTAGCATCATTGGGGCCATTGTGAAACCGGTTTTTTTAGAGAGTTACGATGCTATTAGCATTATTTGCTATTAAATTCTACTACAATAAAAAATGTGAAATTTTGAATTCAATCACGACAAATATAACTTGCATCATCAGAAAGCTTGTAAAAAACTACATAAAAGACTTTTAAACAGTTTTTTTTATTCTTCAAATAGTTATTGCTGTAAATTAGGCACATTATCTCGCTAAATGTCCCTAATTCATTATTCAATGTTGAAAATGCGTTTTTAACAGTTTATAATTCGAAAACTATTTCAGAAATCAAAAACTGTCTTAAACGTCTTATATGCAGTTTTTTATAAGCTTTCTGATGATGCAAGTCATATTTGTTGTAATTGAATACAAAATTTCACATTTTTTGGCTATAATAGAATTCAATAGAAGATAATCACTAATTACCCGTTTTCAGGAGTTAGCAGCAAAATAGTGTTGGCCCCACTTCAAATATCTATTAAGCAAATAAAACTACATCAATTGTAAAAGTTTGATGCTTTTAACCTCAACGGGAACTACTGATCAATAATTTTACACATATCCACCTCACTACATAGGAATGTTCAATTCCTATAGGAACTTTCAATTCCTATAGGAATTCCTATAGGAATTCCTATAGGAAATTTTCGTAAGGGACGAACCCTGTCTCGGTTAAATAGTTCCGTAGATACGGACATCGTTTAAAACAGATTATTGATATCTGATCAAGTGGGCATGGTGAGCCAGACAGTTTCATTTTACGGATGACGTTTGTAATCTCTTGATAGGTCGTGGGGTCAAGATTAAAAGGCGTTTGAGGAGAAGCAAATTTTGGGATCCAACTTGGGATGTTGCATGTTTTATTTGGACTAATCGCGGAGAATGTTTTGGTGAAATAGAATGTACATTGCGCTATATTAAGTGATGGAAGTGAGCTGGTACTCTTTTTGAAAAATCTTTTAACGTAACCCCAGAAGTTTTTACCAATTAGATTATCGTGATCAATGTCTGCAGATTCATGACTATTGAAATTATTTAGGTCCATATTATTTGACTTATTAAGGAGGATGCGCAACTTCTTCGCGACAAATTTGATCTCCAGGACACGACTGTTTTCCAGTTTTAAGTTCTTTAAAGCTTTTTTTTAAATCCTTTGTTGAAAATGTTTGGTATTTTCTTTCGAATTCTACACTGCTATTATTGTCAACATGACCAAAATTCCCACTAAAGTAATTGTAGACAACGGTTACCATGGTATTGATGTTGTTATTTAGATCATCCGGTGTGATTGGGTGATTCAAAAAAGTTAGCTTGAAAAAGTCGTTGGCAACTAACCATTGTAATGGTGATTTGGGTAGTTTTATGCCCCTTTTTCAGTCGGTGAAGTTTTCTTCGGTGTTTGAAGGTGATATTTCAGGGTTAATTGGGTCAGTGTTATCCTCATGATTGTCATCATTTAATGCTTCAGTCATTTGTTGTTGCAGGTTGTCTTCAAGGTCGTCAATAACTCTACAGCTTTTTGGTGCATTTTAAGTCCGCAAGGTCCTTTGCAGACTTTACCACAGCAACATTTGACTGCTTTGCAAGACTTTACAGGTAGACACATTTGTGTAGGCATTTCCATAGCAACGTAACTATGCCAATTCATGTAAAATTTTTCAATGAGACCAAGGACATGTACAGAGAGCGTATATACGCAACTGCTCGATGTATAATAATGTATAATAATTATAATAATAATAATAATAATAATAAACTTTATTTATATAGCGCACAACCAGTGTGGAAAGTTTGTATCGCACGGCGGATATCTCCGGCGCGCAATTTTGATGCTTTCTATATATTTACTATTAAATTTTCGAAAAATCTCCGGTGCGCAATTTCCAAACTTTCCAGTCTGGGCGCACAAATCCAAAGCTGTTCAAGCTGCTTTACATGATTTAAAATAAAACTACTATATACAAACAAAGTAGTGTACCTAAAGTTATCTACATGAATAAAGATTTGCTACTAACAAATTTTGAAAAAAGATAAGTTTTAACTGACTTCTTAAAAGCGTAAACACTAGATGACTTGCAAATATCCAATGGTAAAATATTCCAAAGTCTAGGTGCACAAACTGAAAAAGCTTTATCACCATATGTCTTTGTAATAGTCCTCGGTTGACTTAAGAGTTCATTCAATACAGATCGTAGTGATCTTGAGGATTCACGAAACTGTAGTAGATCAGTCAGATACCTAGGACTCATGCCATTAATTGTTTTATAAACTAACAATAAAATTTTAAAAACTATGCAGTAATGTACTGGCAAGCAATGCAGATCCACTAAAACTGGAGTGATATGTTCATATTTACCAATTCGACAAACAATTCTAGCGGCTGTATTTTGAACATACTGTAACCTCTTCATTTGGTACTTCGGTAAGCCAAAGAGAAGAGAGTTGCAGTAGTCTAGCTTCGATGTAACAAAAGCGTGTACAACAATTGCAGCAGTCTCGTCAGATATTTGCGGATCCTCGATAAGTTCCTCAGATGGTAAAAGGAAGATTTACATTTATCAGCAACATAGCTATCAAACATCATGTGCTCATCGAAACCAACACCCAAACTTTTAACTAGTGTAGCAGTGATAGGCACTTTCTCAAGTTCAATGTTCAAATCGTCAACAGGTGGTTTGTTACGGTACCTTGAATGTATCAACATAATTCCAGTTTTATCATGATTGAGTTTAAGCTCATTACTATTCATCCAATGACAAATTCCAGCTACACAGTCCTCAACGCATTGTTTGGATGTAACAACGTCTGTGGTTTTAAAGGAAATATAGATCTGTGTATCGTCTGCAAACAAATGTTATTTAAGGTTATATCTGTTGATAATTTCTGCCAGGGGTGAAGTGTAGATAAGATACAATAAAGGGCCCAAAACTGAACCCTGAGGAACTCCAATGCTAACATCATGAGTTGCAGATCTCGTACCATTGATATTCACAAACTGGCTCCTATTAGATAGGTAAGATTCAAACCACTTTAGCATAATTCCATTAATGCCAAACCGTTTCTCCATCCGTGATAACAGCAAAGAGTGACTGACAGTATCAAATGCTGCTGATAGGAAAAATTCCTATAGGAAAAATTGTCCCAAATTCTTATAGGAATTTTTCCTATAGGAATTTTTCCTATAGGAATTTTTCCTATAGGAATTTTTCCTATAGGAATTTTTCCTATAGGAATTTTTCCTATAGGAATTTTTCCTATAGGAATTTTTCCTATAAGAATTTTTCCTACAGGAATTCCTATAGGAAGTTTTCCTACAGGAATTCCTAGTCCCAAATTATTATAGGAATTCCTATAAGAAAATAATTTATCCTAATTTCCTATAAGATTTTGGGTATTCCTGCAGAGAATGTAGATGAAATAGTAAATGACACACAATGTTATTCATCACTCTTAATTTTTAATGCAAAAAATAGATATAAATATTAATAAATACTAATTAATATTGCAATTATAAATATTAATATGAGAAATTGGTTATACTAAACATTACAAATCAATTATAGTTTTCACCTATTGTGCCAAATTAATCATTCTACCTCAATGCAATGCCATATGATGCATTCTGCTTTATTATTTTACTCTGTCTAACACCAGACTATTTTATTTTGTCCAATGCCAGACTATCATTTTACTCTGTCTAACTCCAGACAATTTTACTTGTCAAGGGGAGAATGCCGACTCTGAATGGGTTAACTAGCCTATCTTCCTATATATGTGTCTAGTTAACCCATTGAATTGCATTGCGCCCTACTTTATTATTTTACTAATTTACTCCGTCTAACGCCAGATGATTTTACTCATCAGAGCGCTAGCGCAATGGGCTAAACCATAGGTAATAACCATAATTGAGTGACATTTAAAGTTAAGTTTAAAACTGGCCTCAAAACATAGTCCTCAAATAAGTTCTTGTTCTTGTTTGCTTTTCTGTACTTTGCAACACTTTCCCTTCCCCATTTTTGTCCTCATGTGTTGATGAACCTCTGAGACTATACATCCATACTTTGTTGATGCAGAAGCTGTAAAAAGACAAATAAAGTTATTTAATTCCAATGTGTCTTGTTAGCCCATTAATTAAATGTGCCCAAATGCACCCAATTTATTATTTTACTCTAAGTATATTTTACTGTGTTTATTCTAGCACATTAATAGAATAAACACATTAAAATAACAAAGTAAGGTAACCTATCAAAGCAAGGTAACCTATCAAAGTTGTCCACTCTCTTTCACAGACAAGGTAAAATAAAAAAGTACTGAAAGTTGAGCACATTCATCTTAACAAGTTAGCATGAAATGTAAGTAGAGAGTCTGGTTAATCTTAATACCATCACATAGTTATGTTTCATTGAAAAACATGGATAGTTTTCCTGGCATTACACTAAGGCTAACAGATTTTAATACATTGACTGGTGCAAGACCTCTCACAATGAAATATCAATTTTAATTTAAACAATAACATGAATAAATATCAGAATCTTAGTAAGGTTGCTGCTGATTTGAGCAAGTGGTTAAATTTTCAATAGGCATGCATTAATGGCTGCCAATTAATCTGGCATATACAGTTATTAACTCATTAAGCAGCAAGCTGTTACAATGTTTCTACCCGCCTAAGGCGCAAGCAATATGCAGATCTCTCAACTCTCAATTCGCTTCACTCTCACGCTCTCACGCCATGTTTAGTAAATCTCACGCATATGGCAGTTTCATAGTATTTTTTTCAATAATATAATATTGTATTCTTAAATGCACATTAATCATTTAATATACGGATCGCAAATCGAATATATAATCACGTGTTATTGTTCCCTCGTGTTCCTGCATATTTGCCTGCAATTTGGATGCAAAATAGTATGCACATGTAAATACAGTGGACAAAAGGCAGAATCAGTCGGAGCAGAATGCTATATGCAGGGCCGTAGCAACCGGGGGGCTGGAAATCATTCTTTTTTCAAAATCATGCAGACCTTTATCAATTTTAAGCTTTATTAGTTTTAAGCGGCTACATTATCCATGACAAACTGCAAAGAATGAAGATATTACCCACACTTTCCTGCAACTTATCCAATATATAGTTAATGATACACCTTTGCCCATTTAGCACTACGAAATTGTAAATTTCGACATACTAAAACGCTGTTTTCTGACTATCAGAATTCTGTCAAATCTTCCCCCAAAGTCCAGGAAATGGCATTTCAGAGACTCTAAACTTAAAAATTTCTTCGGGCCTTCGGCCCTCGCTTTCAGCCCCCCCCCCCCCCCCCCC